TGCAAAGTCAGAAGATTGGACGAATGTTTGAAGAAAATATAAAAAGTTGAAATATTTTGTTGACGAAAAAGTCTAAAATTTCGCTATTTTATTATTCAGATGCTTCGTCATCATGAACAATTGGTAGACAGTTCTCTCTTCACCGGGGAAAAAGTCATGTCCGAAGGGGTTAAGGTCATTAGAAGATCCTGCTGTTTCTAGATCCTGGGAGCTTTCGCGTTTGAAAAACAATAACTTCCTCAGTACTTTTTGCAAGTGAAATAGGCGTTGGTCTGAACTTGAATAATCTTGTAATTCATCAGTTAAACTGGTCCGCGTCAACATTTTTATATTTTGGTCGGCTATGAGTCATTGTTCACTGAAGAAGTGTATGTAGCATAGTTAGCAATCATTCACATTGAATTGTTTCTCAGATAAACAGCAGTAGGGGGAGAGCAAGAGAATGGGAAATGGGGAGCGAGGGCTATTGTATGCTTAGGATAGGTTTTCTGCGATCCAAATGTGATCCGAATGTGAGAGTCGGCTGGGGCTGCTCCGTCAACGCTTGTTATCTCGCTTTTCCCCGTTTTTGTGCCAAATATTGGCAGTGTGTTGCATGTTGGCGAACTTGGTGTGCGTGTTGGCAGGCTTTTTGACAGTCCGGTTTTCGGTAGCTGAATCGGCGGTAAGAGTACGAGCACATGACGACGCGCTCGACTTCCCCACCTGGCAACACACACACAGCCATACACACACACACAGCCAGCAGCACACACAGCGCACAAAACAGCGTTGAGCCATAGGGGGACTGGCAGACGGCTAATGCGTGGAGCGAATTTCTGAAAACCGGTTCTCTTCCCCGCTAACACATGCAATCGCAATTTCTCTCTTCCTCACCTACCATATACGGAACATCGAGAGTTAAGATTTCCTGTATTTTCATCGAACGCGACCAGCTGAACTCACTTGGAGCAATTCGGAAGAAGTTGCTTCGATCTGCCACTTTTTTTACTTATCGTTTCTTACTCCGCGGCTTTTTTGTGGCATTTCTTTGGAAGCGTTGCAACTGATTTGTCACTTTCGTTGATTCAATCTCTCCAATCAAGTAAAAGTTTCAGATAAGCATCTGCTCTTGGCAAAAACACATGCGCCTAGCATCTTCGCGTTTTTTCTTTCTCGGAAATTCTCCCATTCTTTTCGCTGATATCAGAGGTACAATTAAAATATTTTGCAAACAAAAGAAATAGCTCACCTGAACCCTCTTGCTTTTCACGCTAATCATCCACAGCATTTTGAACTTTGAGCTGAGCCAACTCCCTAACTGTACACAACTGAACACAAATCAAACTAAAAGCAGTACTCTACTTGATGTGGAGGTTATTGCTATTTCGCAACTTCTTCTCTTGCTTTCCCCTTAACTGAGAACTTTTCGCTGTAGACTACCTAAATGCTTGACAGAGAGCAATGGTGACAAGAGGAAGATGAATTACGATGCAAGGTTGGTAGGTAGCGACATGATAACTGTTGCAAAGGGCTTGTACTTGTATAAGAATGTTCGATTCGAAGAATCATGGCGATTCTTTTTTTATGTTAGTCCTTATTGCTGTACATTCATTTGCCAATATATGTTAATGAGTGAAGTGATGTTTTTCTTCCTAATTTAAAAAGAACTGATCTGGACGTTGTGAACGGTACCTATAAGTCCCAAAATTCGTATTTGATAACTTCTCCTTCTATAATACTTGGATGCAAGTAGGAATTAGTGTCAATCATTTTCATGCTTAATCTTTGGTCAGGTCTTACCGTATTTGCTTGACTCCAACAGATAAAGTGCTGTTGAGAATAGTCAGTGAAAGGCACAATCTTCGCACATTCTACCTTTTGCGATACCTCAGGTCGCAAAGCTGCACAAGCTTTGTGAAAGATTACTAATATAGGGCAGTATATAAAATGTTTACAACCGTACTGCCAAACTCTGAAGCTTTCGAGGTTTTGCGGACTTGTAAATTAAAACTCATGATAGTTTTGTGGCGCTCTCCTTACAAAACTCCTATGGCAGAAGCAGGAGCCAAGACCTCGCAAGAGTTTATTGTTCTGGGGTGCATTGGTCTCCTCACGGCGGAAACCGAGGTTGGTTTCGCGTCAAAATAGGGCGCACCGGCAATTGTGCTCTTCAGGCGATTGCTAAACGCTCAGTCACATCACATTCTCAACCCGCCGACCCATTTATGCGCTGAAATCCACCGCGTCTGCTTCTGAAACGATGTCAAGCTAACTGTCCTAGCCGTCGAGGCGCGACTGCCGCGATCGCTGCGATCACTGCGATCTCTCATGCTAAGATGGTACTCGGTCGAGTGCTTGACGTTTTTTTGTCTGCGCTATTTCTGCGGGGTTGCCGTTGTCCATAAGCGCGTCGGAAGATAGTGATTGGGTGGGACCCGCTATTGTAGGGGCATCGGGCCAAGGCCGGCTCTCACTGAGCCACTAGCCGTCATTTGCGTGCCGACAGTCTCCGCGACCCCGTCTTATCGCACCGAGTAATAACCAGCCCTGTCGTACGCGCGAACGTTGAGGGCCCCTGGACTTGGGACAACCCGCCACTGATCCCAAACCCAACCGAGATTTCGCACTGCCATGGAGCACTGCTGACAGCATCCTGTGAGCAAGCACAAAAACCTTGGGTAATTCGTCGATTTAATATGATAATCGCCATCATCACGCAAGTTTCTGAAAACTGGTATTGCCGAAACCTGGCACCGGTTTGCTGCTATTGATCCCGTCATCTGATTGCATGACCCCTGATTACCTTCGCGCTCTCGAACCAGCTGTTCCCTCAACGCTTTTACTCCTCAATCCGTACCGGTATTCAATTTTGTGCCGTGCCTTCACTGCTGTGTCCATGCTGTAACTTTGTCATGCTCCCATATTTCTCACTGAGTGATTGAATTTTGTTATGTTTGTCATACATATACATCCGCTTTGACTTTGCTCTCTATTGCGGTTACCTTAATCTGATTTTGCTCTCTCACCTTTGAAATGGCATGCTGTAACGAGCAAAAAGCAAAGAAATTGCATTCTTTTGAATCAGGTTGAAACATAGTGCGTTCATCATTCATTATTCGAATACCGTAGGATGCTTTGTAAGTAACGATTTTCTTACTCTTGTTTCTTTGTTTCTTCTGAGAGAATTGCCATTACGGGTAGCATTGGTCAGTGCTGTTCTGAACTCGTTCTTCCTTTCATTTCGCTGTATAGATCTCAAAAATCTCTATTTCATGCTGCTAGCGCAATAGAACAAATTCTTATTCAATTTTTGCACTTACCTCATTCACTATTTTGTCTCAGTAAGCTCGTCGCCCTATAAAAAGTGAATTCTAAAAGAATTTACCTATTATTCATCGCATACTTCCTCGAACGTATTCTTTTTGAATATCACTCAATATTATATAGCATTCATGTCTTCCTTTTCCAAACAAATATGGCTCTTGTAAAGTCCCAATTTTTTCCTAAAATTGGCGCTGACGTCGAGGGAAATCAGAATTTTCATGTCTTTTAGCCCAAGAATCGTTCATCTCCGCATTACTTGCTTTCCTGGCTCTGTCGAGTGCTTTACCGTACCGCTCGGCTCTCGTGGGTCGTGTAGATCATTGCATCTGATTTATCTGAAGAATTGTCTAGCCATCATAACCAATGTGTGATGCCTTACTTATAGCGGACACTGCCTGCGAGGGGGCACTTCGTCGACTCGCCAATGATCTACTCACTTTTCTGGCTTTCAGAACTGTTTGTGAGAGATTACAGTCGTGTTATGTTGTTATTGTAGCTCATTGTCGCGATCGATCGTAAGCCGCGACAAGTTGTTTTCACTTCACTCAGTGCTCGTCGTACCCACGCTTGATCTGAGGTACCGCCGACGTTCCCCATTCCCCTTCGAGCAGCGTCCACCTGCTCGGTGTTGCCCCCGTCCCGGAATCCGTCCCGTCGTCGACGCAGGGGAATCGTGAAGTGCAAGCTGCTGACTCTACTATATCGGTCGTTGGTGCCATGTCGGGACCAATTAGCTGTACTGCTTTGCACTATCCTCATCAGCCTGTTGCTCGCGCGACAAAAAACGAGTTTTCACCATTTCTGAAGCATTACCTGCGATGCGCGAGCGACGTCTACCGTACAGTAAGCATTAGTGCATTCATGTGACGACGGGACCGAGAGCAGCTCGGCCTGCTGTTGCTGTATAACTCCGTCCAACCGTGTGCGTGGTCGCACAGCTCGATTTGCTTCCGTATTCGTCGCAACTCGGTGTTTGCCAGCCGCTGGCCGATTGTCGATGATGTGAGAGATGAAGTGCCTGTGAGTTTAGGTGGAAGGTGGTTGTCTGTGGCTGACTCTGCTGAATAGGTAAGGGGGTTTGTTGAGGTGGTGCTCGGCGCGCTCTCGAGCTACCGTATTCCGGAACGACGGCCAGCTTATTGACAGTAAACGGGGGGCGCCCCGGCTGTGTTTGCTGTGCTTTGCTGTCTCCTCATTGGCTATTATTCGTCTGTTACACATTTTATCTCTCTCAGCCCTCTCACTCCCTCTTATTCTTGTTCTCTCTCGCTAGCAAACAGGCGATTAACACTCACACCGTCACTGATCATGTCCTCCGTGCTTCTGTTCCATTTCTGTCTTCTCGACTTTCGCTCGCTTCTTCAACTCGTACTCTTCCGCTTTTCGAACGAACAACCCACCTCTTTCTATGTGGAAGTGCCCGCTTAATCCCTGCGCATTCTGATCGGATTTGGACGTTTTTATTTCAGTTTTGAACGTCATCTAAGTTTTTGCATGTTGAGCTCGGCTTGACAAAGATCGGTCATCGAGTTTTCTCACATTTATCTCCTTCCATCAAAATTGTCTTCTAGATTGTAAAAGCTTAAATTTGCAAGTTTATCATCGCATAACAATTATCGGTTTTGCATTTCAATTCGTTTTCCTTGTTACATCCCATTTTTGAAGAAAATCTTTCTCTAAATGTTGAACATTCCAGGGACGATGCCCTATAGAGCGGAGTTAAAAAGACCAGATCTCAAAGGTTAGTTAATACAATTCTTACTAGTTGGTTTTCCAAGAGATTTTAGCTCCCTGTCATGCAGTATCAGCCGTATAAAAGTGAGTAGGTCGTGGCGGGTTTCTTTTTGCATGAGTGTAATAGGGACTTCCTCGAATACGAACTTGATTTTGTAGGTGAAAATGTAGGCATTCTTACAGTTGTTGTTGATTTCAGGGCAGTTTCCATGTTCGGTGTGCGGTAAAATCTTCTGCCATTCATCGTCGCTAAGCAGACATCGAATGCAGGCGCACTTTAAGAGCTACACATGCACTCAGTGCAATCAGGAAATATCCAGTAAGTACTTATTTTGTTTTGTTGGCCAAAGTGACCGTTTTGCCCTCCGATCCATCCTGTTCTCACGCGAATCACAGTCATAGCCAGCACCCTCGCCGGCTTCCTTAGCGATTTGCTTTCAACATGTATTGTCGGCCGACTGAGCGTACTTTACGTGAGCTTTCCATTTCACAGAACTGGTTATCGTGATAGCGCGGCTCCCGAGAGCGCCCAGCACCAGTGGCAGGCAATGCGATGCACGTTGGGTGGCATCGCTGGGGACGAACAGTTAACTAGCCGCCATTCTCGGCTCTGCTCCTTCGGGCTGCTCGCTTGCTGCTCGTGCAGAATTCGCTGGACAGGAATGCGAGGGTCCGTGACTGCTTTTGCAGGGCGTCTTACCCCACCTTAACCCGGAGCGAAGGTGTGAAAGTAGGGCTTCGCGAGCCTCTGTTTGCTCATATTGCTCGCTACCCATGCTCAGAGTCAGCTTATCCGACACTATTTGTGCTCCTAATAGCTGCTCCGCGCGTGCTGTTTGTATAGCCGATTGCAGCTGGATACTGTAGAATAGCGCTCAAAGGCTTCTTTCACAAGCAGCGCGCTACGATCTGCTCTTTGGAACTCATTCAGAGCAGCAATCAGAGGTGCGATAGGGGGAGCCGGGCCCCCCAAAAGTGAAGGTGGTTCCAGCTACCACTGACCGGCCAAAAGTGAAGGTGGTAGTGTCGGACACTCACCTCCGAAAAACGTCGACGGGGGGGGGGGGGGGAGGGAGGGGGGAGGGAGGTGCGGGGGGGGGGGGGTAGAACGGACGAACAGAGCTATCCTTCTAAGTCGAACTGTGATCCAACGGCCCTCTTTAGGGCCACAGATACGATGAATATTAAAAATTTTTATAAATTTTATTTATAAAAATTTAAAATAGACGTGTTTAGTAAATGGTGTATTTGGAAGTAATAGTTTGTTGGTCTGTACGGATTTTATTAAGCAAATTATGTTATAACGTATAGCGAAGGAAGTAGGTCGATCCAGGCAGTAACGGCCGAGAACCAGAATTTTGAATATTTAAATAGTGAAAAATCATGCGAATTTTCCACTGTTATAAATCTGTTGTTTGAAGATGTCAGCAGTTGCGACTTCATAGGTTTTGAAGGGTAAGTGTTGTTCTACCAGACAGTGAAGAAATCAGTTTGATTTGAGGAGTGGCCGCCGAGAACGAGAATTTTGAAAAACCTTAAAAATCTGCTCAATTTCGGGCTGTTTGATGACAACTGACATTTAAACTCTCACAAATCCGGACTTTGAAGGTGTGTGATGTTGCGACTTCATAGGTTTTGTAGGGTGAGGTTTGCTCTATCAGAACATATCTTAGCTGTACCGATCCATTGAAACGTCGCCGAGATCCAGGCTCCTAAAGAAGCGGGTAAAAAACCGTTTTTCAGCTCATAACTTCTTCAGAATTGCATGAATCATGTTGCGACTTCATAGGTTGGATTCTCCTCATCAAGAGCTTTCAGATGATATATAATATGTGGGGGGTTCACGCCTTCCACGGCATATGCCCGGGGGTGGAGTACCTCTCTTCACTAATTCTCCACTGGCGGCCTCCCGCCAATACATTGAAATGGGCGGGGTGGAGAATTAGTGAAGAGGAGTACTCCACCCCCGGGCATATGCCGTGGAAGGCGTGAACCCCCCACATATTATATATCATCTGAAAGCTCTTGATGAGGAGAATCCAACCTATGAAGTCGCAACATGATTCATGCAATTCTGAAGAAGTTATGAGCTGAAAAACGGTTTTTTACCCGCTTCTTTAGGAGCCTGGATCTCGGCGACGTTTCAATGGATCGGTACAGCTAAGATATGTTCTAATAAGGCAAACCTCACTTTACAAAACCTATGAAGTCGCAACATCACACACCTTCAAAGTCAGGATTTATAAGAGTTTAAATGTCAGTTGTCATTGAACAACCTAAAATTGAGGAGATTTTTAAGGGTTTTCAGAATTCTCGTTCTCGGCGGCCACTCCTCAAATCAAACTGATTCTTTCGCTGTCTGATAGAACAACACTTACCCTTCAAAACCTATGAAGTCGCAACTGCGGAGGTCTTCAGCCAGCTGATTTGTAACAGTGGAATGATTTTTCACGATTTTTCATTATTTTATCATTCGAAATTCTGGTTCTCGGCGGTTACTGCCTGGATCGACCTACTACATAGATATATGCTCTTAATACTTTCTTTTACATCCCTTTTGCTTATTTTCCTTCTTTTGAGCTTCAGCAAAAAAAATTTTTCAAACCGAAAAGTGAAGGTGGTCACCCCGTACCAGCTCAAAAGTGAAGGTAGGCGGAGAATCGGCTCCGACTATCGCACCTCTGGCAGCAATTCGTGCTGTTCACCTAGGGAAAGAGAAGTCGAGCTCGCTGAAAGTCCGGCTTTAGGTAAATGGGATATTTTTTTGTTTATGCGAATTTTCACTTATAAGTCGTATATATACTTCAGTAGAAGAAGAATACATACTGAACAAGAGGGAATCAACCATTTTACCGAAAATTAGTGTGTTGGAGGGAGTTGTTGTTGATTGCTGATCAAAAATCAACAATAGAATGTACCTGCCTCGGTTAGGGTGAATTCTCAATTCGGGATCTAGAACAGTTGCGAATCAAAATTCTTGTATCAAATAATGCCTTATAAGAATATAGATTCCAAAAAACTTTTCTAATGCTATATTTGAGATACTTCTTTTGCTGCAAAAGCAAAATCAGGCCGTCTTTCATCACTTTGATCACAAAATAAAGAGACCAGTTTGGGAACCACGTTCTTCTTCGCTCACTAATTATTGATCTCGTCGCCTGTAAATCAAATATGTCAGGAGAGTTCTATGGACGGTATCACTAATGAAGAAGGCTATTTCTAATTCGAGTCCGCAGCTTTTGAGGTTTGAAACGTCCTAAAAGACATGGGCAACTTGGTTGCTTTTCGTGCTTTTACCGGTCCGAATAGCTGCGCTAATGCAGCTTGTGGCACGTAACCTATTCGGCACGATTGCGCAACGATTCGCACTCTCGTATTATTCGCGCGACTACTCGCACACGTCCCCTGTTTGCATAGCCTAATTGTAGCGGCTTCCTGTTATGGTCCCATGAGAGGTCAGGCTCCCTCTCACAGTACCAAGGACGGCACTATCCCTCTGACCTCACTCAACTAATTACGCGTTCTTACGGACAGCGTAGAATCTTAGCGCAAGTTTGAACCGGCTAGTGACGAGCGGTCTAGCCGCCTCCCGGCTCTCTTTGACCTCGCTGCTCGCTGCCAAGATCTCGTCCAGCCGCGTGCGGTCGCTCTTATCGCTGCCTGCTCGACTTGTTACGGGGAAACGGTAACAATGTTGCACGCACACCTGCAGCTAAGGAGCACCCGTCTGGATCAGGTCAAGGATGTCTCCGCATCAGATCTTATCTCTATCTCGTATATCAGCAGAAGTTCACGCGAAGGTCGAGGTCCAGGGCAGAAGAACCATGTGGTTTGCCTAATCAGACCAAGCATGGAATGATCACCTCATGTTGAATTTGGCGGCGAACTCAGGCTTTGGATTGTCTTGCTGACTCACAGGCTTTGTGCTGCCGTTTTCGCAGTCGGAAGAACACTAAGGTTTAACTGGTTGAAATGTGCTTGAATCCATACAAAGAGCTAATTATGCACGAACGCCTGCCTGTGCTAGGCGAACAACGGATACTAAACGATTTGAGAAGAGACGATTTACATACATAGCAGCTGTGTGGCTAGTTGGGTTTTGCAGTTTCCGGCAAATTATGCAGTTTATGAGAAGGGTGGGAGACAGTAGATGAAACCGTTCGAATTACAGTGTGTTATTCCAGGTAATGAAACGCTCCGGTCACACATGTTCCGAATCCATAGCATCTCCAGGATGTTCATGTGCAGATGCTGCAACTGGGCTTTTCCCGATAAGACTAGTTTACATATCCACATGCAAAGCATGCTACGAAATGGTACTCCTGGAGAGGTGGCCATCCTTGCTAGAAGCTCAACTGAAGGTGTGAAAACAAAACATGCAGACTCTACAGTTCGGTGCTAACCTATATTTTAAGCAAATTTATATTTACAGACGGGCCGGGTAACTCCCTCGACGACTCACCACGTGGATCGCCAACTTACTCTACAGAATCGCTATTAAAACATCCTTTTCTCAATCACGGCAATGGCAGTAACAGCAATAATAACAATAACAACGCGAAAACTGCAAACAATAACGCTGGCATTAATTCGATATTTCCCACGATTGTGAAGACAGAAAACCTGTTGGCCACCATGAACAAAGTGAGTATTTTGCGTTGTTCTTCTTCTTCTAGCACCACTGTGTCTGCTTCCAAAGAAAATTATCTCTTATCCTCATGAAGGCGTAATTCTATAATATTTTGTAGCTTCCAATGTTCTCACCATTTGAAAATGCTCAAATTTTAAAATCACACCACTTCTTGTATAAACCGATCAAATCTGTCTTTTTAGAAGTACTGCCAAGCTAAAACTTCTTTGCACATCCATAGAATTGTCGCTGACCTCGAATCAGAAAACTTGGGCACTTTCGTTTTGGAATTAGCATCGCTTACGACTTGCTCATTACCGTCTCCGCTTTATAGGGGCATTTACTGTCTTACTGTACAGTAAATGATACATAGTAAAGGGAAACCAGAGAGATGCTGATTGACCAAGTTTCATTTTTGAACTCTATGGTTCTGCGCTGATGAGAGCAGAAAAGAGCTTTATTATAGTAACATATGTCTTGGAAAGATTTTACTGCAGAAAATATGGTACGAATTTAACTCGCCGTGGATTTTTTTTTTAGTTTACAAATGCCACAGATTTTCATCTACGAGATGAAACAGATTGCACGAGCAGGTTTTGATGTTTGAAAGATGATTTATCTTTGATATTCAGAATAACCTTCTGCCCGCAATGGATTTGACGGCACTATCTTCAAATCAGTGGCTGTCCGCATGGCTGGCGAACAATCCTTTTGCTCCAAATCTTGGCCAGCAGACGCTCTCCAATGCTAACGCAGAGGCACCGTCAGAAACGGTAACGTTTCTATGCTCAAATCAGTTTTGTTCGCGAAAAGAGTGCATTCAGAAGCGTTCCGAGGTCTCAGAGGAAGTCGACTACGATGCACTGGAGATAAAGATGGATGAAGATGATCTGCATGACGAGGACATCAATCATGATCCGAGTCCCACTGTGAGGAATTGGCCTAAATTTTACCTGCAAAACTCTACATGTACGAGTGATCGTAGCGATTTAGTCAGTAATAGTTGATCCATGCCGCACACCCAATCGGAAAGCAGAGGACGCTCGTGGCAGCCAAAAAAGAAAGGCAACACGGCCGCAGCAAGTCACGGATGCCGTGCACGTCGATCTGGATGACAAGGTGAGCGCTATTGGACGAGTTATCTCGCTCAGCGAGTGGCTTCGAGGTAAAATTTGAGCTTTGCGCAGCTTTGCAACTCGTTGAAGTGCGAACCACCATGTAAACTGGCGGCTAACAACAAGGAACTCGAGCAGCCGTCTCCTACAGTATCCGACTCGCACACCAGTGGAACAAGCAGTCAGGCTGGAGACACACCCGCCAAATGCTTCGATTGCCAGGTGCGCATTTTGCAGCGCGCTCCGACGAGTCCTTTTGAAGTTCAGCTCAAAGAGTTTAGGTTGTGAAGGAAAAGCTGAATGTATCGCAGTCGAAGATGTTAGAGTACGAGCAGAAAATCAATCATCTCGAAGCGAAAATCGTCGAGCTGCAACGAACAGCCAGCGAAAGAAATCACAACAACGATCAAAGTGAAAGTTTTCATGCAGAAGGCAATTCCGATCAGCTACAGGTTGCTGTGAGTTCAAGTTTCAAAGTTTTATTGAAGAAATGAGAGCGACAGCGAAAGTACAGTATACCTAAATGTGCCCTTTCTCAAAGCAGTTTCTCCGCTCTCTCGCATCAAATCGAGTGCGGTCGTTCATGTAGGCGGCTAATTTCGATGAATTGTCTCAGGATGAACTTCGTTACTAGTTATGCGGTGGTCAAATAGAAGAAGTGAACACCCAGCACTTATGGTCTTAACTTTGATAAACCCCCGTTTGCAACGAGACAAATTACGGTATCCTTACTCAAGCAGCTTCCAATGCAAGACAAAAGCCTCAATATGAGAACTATACGAATATTGCATTCACGTCTATATAGAAAGTGTTTATTTATCAAAACTTACTTATAAATTCTTGAATACGCGAGGGACTTCTCTAGTGGTCGTTTTCAGCACTCGTGAAAGGAGGATGATTCGGCCCTTCTCTTTCCTCCCAGTATAATATTTACTGGAAATTACACTTGGTTGAACTTCCGCACGTCGATACCATTTTGAAAGATAGTTTTTCCCCTTTACACAATGTTTAGGATCTCGTCTTCATTCTATCTATCCATGCTTCACTTAAATGTTGTTCTCCGTAAATATCTTTCACGCTGAGCTAGAAGATGGCGTCCTTTCATGTTTAGCGTCTAAATATCACTTGTTATAGAAATAGTCTTTGTGACAAATCTCTTCACCAATAAAGCTCTAATCATTTGGGTTTCATATACGTAAAATCAAACTGCGCAAATTACGAATGATGGTTTGATTGCATGAAATAGCCCCATTAAATATCATAATACAAAGCAGTAAAATTTATCAAACAAACAGAAAACGAAGCCTACCTCCTGAGAGCATTGGACTGTCCATCTGACAGATGTTGTATCCGAAGTTTCGATGACTTCTTGAATGCTAGACTTTGATGCTAAATTATCGCTGTTGTTCAATTACAAGCAGGGTGTGCTTTGAAAAGCTAGTCATCTATTAGTATTAGGAAAAATAATAATGATTGATCCATCTTCTCATAAATTATGATAGAACCTAATCGAATCACCTCGCTATTTTCAAGTTTTGAGCCCCATGGTATTTTTCATGCTTACATGCTGAGCAGGGCACTATCAACTGTCAGTTCTAGACTGCTTCATTACCGTAAACCTTAATCATGTTTTCTGAAGCCAAACACTTTGTTCTTTTGGCCTGGTCGGGTATACCTTCGGCGCAGCATAAGATGGTTTTATCTGAAGCGTTTGATCAAATAAGAAGTAGAAGTGTGCGAATTATTTGAACATGAAAACTCGAAATTTTTCATGCTGCAATAGATGCGTCTCGGATGCGCCTTGCGTCTATTACGATTGGTAGAAAAAATGTAAATGCTACAACCTGATTGTCAGTTGGAAAGGAGTAAACAATAGCATTGTTTGATTCGTCTTTCTTCACGCATCTGCTTTCAGATGCCTGCAGCCATGCCAGCAGTCGCGTTGTTCCCACAATTTTCGCCACCACTTCCGTTCATGCACAATCCGGCAGTGAAGATGTTTTTGCACAATTTTATGCAGTTTCAGCTTAGTCGACCATCGTGTTAGTCAGTGTTCTGCTTTAAAAATCAAACGCTAATGCTGTACACAGGTTCGTATAATCGTCGTCACCCCTCACTCCTCCTCACACATTGATTCGTTCGTTTCTAGTTGATCGTTTTGCATCAGAGATGTGCATCGCTGTATATACTTACTTATATTCTTCAAAGGCTTTTCATACTGAGAATTGGCAGGAATTACAACAAATGCAATACTAGAACCAATACACCTCATTTAATTATTCACTAATCTTTACGTTCGATGCAATTCACTTTTCGTTTTGTTGTTATATATCCCGAGTTTTATTCGTACGTTTGTTGTCATGCAAAGAAGATATTTGATGAAGCAGGTTTCGCCGATTTCTGTTTTTGCGTTTTTCGCATGGATGTGTTCCGTCCATCAATCACACGACTAGCAGATTATGCTTATCATATACGGTTATGAATTGTGGAACTTCTATAAACTGTGAGAATAGTTGAATCTAGCTCCCCTAATCGTATTATTTTCATGAGTTCACCACTGGGTTAGGCTATAAAACTTTTCCAAACCAAGATTTTGATAGTGCTGAGTTCGCAAGAGCTTCAAATTTAAGAAAAGTTTACCCAGTAATGAGGTTTTAGGTAACTTGTTCCTTTCTTTGATCAACACAGAGTAAAATAAGTAAACATTACTTTGTATGGCTATGCATTTGCAGGCATTTTTTGCACAAGAGAGGCACTGTGGTGTCCTGAGAGCCTTCTGATTTTTGGAACACATCACTCGTATGCCTGAAGATTTTAGGGCTTCCTCAAGAATTCCTTTTTTCTGATATAGGATAGCACTTGTTCCAAGGTAGGCAAAATGTTCAATGATAGTGCTCAGAACATAACAGTAGGTATAAGTAGCGTACCCAGGATTTCCGGTCAGGGAGGGGGGGGGGGGTATGACAGAATTTCTTCTGTGATGAAGGTGCGTGGCGTTAGCCACGAGCCCAGAAAAAAGTTTTTGGTATGCTTTTCAAAATTTTTGCGGGCTATAACCTCGAAATTTTGGAAAAAGGGGGCGTGGCTGAAGCTAAGCCCCCAAAAAAAATTTTTTTATGAGGTTAAGTTGAACTTTCAAAACACTTGCACATGTTTAAACTCGTGTAAGTAACTTTTAAAAATTTCGCGACCATTTTCTCGGGGGGGGGGGGGGGGGGGGGGGCTCGGTACGCCACTGGTAGGTATTACTACCTTGATCCCACGAAGTTATGAATATATCCTAGGGTGACCGAAAAATGTTTGCAAATGCCACGATTTTTCGTTTTCTCTCTCGTTTCGGAGGGCAACAAGAATTAAAATTTTTGATTGTATGGATTGACAGAGCTCTCTGGAGTCTTTAACCGTAGTATGCAGCTTTTTTTGAAAAACACGAATCCCAAAACCGATTTTCCGAAAGATGGCAACGTCACGCCACCGACGATTATTCCTTGTTATCTCTTCCATATTCATTTGCAGATAAGTAGACTAATCTGTAAAGCTCATTAAACTATGAGTTTTGTAGTGGTCACATCTCGGAAAACCTCAGTCTAGATTTCTTTTCCTTTTTGGGAAAGATCGCCTTTCATTACAAGAATCAAATTTCTAGGCACTAGAACCGTTCCAGTATGGCTTAACAAGTTTGCTTGAATGAACATAAAGCAACCCTTATGGATGCTCGGTTATGTGCTGACGATTCCACCAGGCCAAAATTGCGGTTGGTGCTTGCGCATGGCATCCTCTACATTGACCATACAAGGCTTATCAGCATTTGACAGAAAAGCATGGTATATTCGATCGGAAAAAACTTTTCCTCTAGTCAGCTAGAATCTTATAAAGCTCCCACACCTTGAGAGGCTCATCTAGTCACTCAAAATGTTAATTTTCTAGCCTCAATAGGTATATCAATTCGATTATAGAAACCCCTCTTTCTCATCAAACACAGTAGAACTTATCGGTTAGATTTAAGACAATATTATGAGCTAACAATTGAACGTTTTTTGTATCTTGATACAAGAGAAATTTCTCAGAAGACTTTATTGTGATAGGCGTTTTCGTGAAGAGTTCTACCCGAGCTCGACACGAGATGTCTAGCTGAAAATGCAAAAAACGAAATCCCCTTGACTTTTGCGAATTTTTAAGAAGTCCCCTTTGACCCTAGACCATAATCCCTAAAACAATCTCCGAAAAACTGAATGTCGAACAAAAAAAAATCGTCGCAAGTTTTGTGTCTTTTCGGCCACAAAAACGAAACCTCCTTTGCTTTTTGTCCCAAAAACGATATCCAGCTTGCTTATAAGCCACCTGTACCTGCCCTGGTCCTACCAGATATTTCCTTTCAATTTTTTTCATACACAAAACACTGTTTTGTTCACTTCTGTGAACGACAGACTGCGAACAAACGAAACTTTGTTACTTTCCCTACTCCAAGCATTTTAGATTTCCGATATTTTTGTGTCTGGAATGCAATATCTAGATAGCGCATGAACTTAGCATATCCGGAGATAATACTCGCGGAAAAAATTCATACTAAGTTTCCACTGTGATTATATTTTTTTCAGTAAAATCAGTAAGGTGTAGATAATGTGCATCGAAATGATACTGAACATCCCTAAAAAGTCTCGTTTTGCGATGCTTTTATTCAGGACACTCAACACATGCTTTTGGATTAAGAGATTCGCTAACATCTTATACTCTACCCCCTCCAAATATCTTCTCATGAAAAGAAATGGAGCGTATATCATAAACTTCCATTCGAAATGTTGAACGACAATTGTGCGTAAACAAAATCGACTTAGTGAACCACGCTCCAACAAATCTGAAAATGCTCAGCAGTTGAGGACGGGGTTTGATTGAGCATGTGGTCAAATATGAAGGCCTGGTTTGGGGGATCTGAGAGCATCTTTCATTTATTGGCCCCGATTGAATGAGTTTTTAGCACCTTTTTCTCCATTACTATCCTTTGAGGACATTTGATTACGGAGAAGAACCCTGCAGATTTGCAACTCTGCAAACCCTGATTTTTAAAAGGCCGATCTACCGGAACCCAGCATCTTGATGTCCAGTTTGACTGGACAGAAGCATTGAGTCGGAATCAAACTGTAGATGTAGTCTATTTTGACTTGAGTAAGGCATTCGATACAGTGGATCATAATCTTCTTTTGGCTAAGCTAGAGAGCTTGGGAATCAGAGGGTTACAACTGAGATGGCTCGCATCATATCTTCATGATAGAACCTTCTCTGTTCGTGTACTTGACAGAAATTCTACGACTAGATCGGGCAGATCTAGAGCTCCCCAAGGCAGTATTCGGTCGCCGATTCTCTTTATTTTATATACTATTGACTTGCCAACCATTCTGATCACGGACCCACGTGTTAGAGTTGCTGCGTACGCTGATGATGTTAAAATATATATCGTCTATGCCAGCATAATAAGGTTAATGCTTATGCAACACTCCGCACCTCAATTTTTCAGATGATTGATTAGGCAGATAGATGGACTATCAAAGTGAATTATTCCAAAAGCTGCACTGTTCCTATTGGCAGAACCCCCCCCCCCCAAATAACCAAATAATAGCTTTGATCTTGAATGCAAGTTCTTGGTCAAAGACGTGGATGTTCTTACTGATTCTAAATTATGTTCATACCATATTGACGAAATCGTATCTAGAGGGACTCGAATATTGTATACGATTTTGCGCACTGTTCAATCCTTTGATACGAACATCATCTTAAAATCTATAAAACTTTGGTTCTTCCAGTTGTGGAGTACTGCAGCTATGTGTGGAATCCTACGTTAAACAAAGATACTGATAAGATTGAAAAAATTCAAAAAATATTCACTAGGGTAGTTTTCTACCGGGCATTTCCTAATTCGAATTATTCTTACTTTACCTGACTATACATCCAGAATATGGAAGCTGGGTCTTAAAACTCTTTTCGGTACCTTTCCGTTATCCGGACCCATTTTCTCAAAAGGCTCTCACAACATATGTTGTTTAGTCTAGAAATAATTTTTTATATATTCTACGAAGAGTGCCTCCCACCACATGTCAGGAAAAATTTGACATATTTTAGTCCATTTTAACTTGTTTTTTCGAAATCATTTCCGGTGAAAAAGCTTTGTGGGCATCTAAAAGCCTTTCAACTGTTTTCTATAAAAGCAAAACTGTCTAAAACTTATAGCAAAACATCCTAGTTGCTTTCAGGAATAATTCAAACTTGTCTTCCTCATCAAACTTTCCGCCATGCGAATTCGGTCAGGAGAGACTATAAATGATGGTTTGCGGTATTTCGCTGCTGCTTGTTTCGCCGCTTGGATAAGGGAATCCTAGCATACTTTTCCATTCTGGGCAAGTCTATCTGTTCAATTATAACAGGATGACGTTATTTTCATAACAGTTCTCATTTCTGAAATCCTTTATTTGAAAATGGGGTCATTATTGACTTGAACACAGAGTATTTACGTCGCTAGGCAGTGCACAACAAAACCTTGGTAAAACCTGTAAAACATGTAGATGACATGTCAATTTTTTTGACACGTGGCAGAAGGTTGACGCCCCTTCCTGTGAATTTGAGACCAAATATGGTGCAAGAAAAAAAGCAATACTCTTTTTTGAAAAAATGGGTCCGGATAACGGAAAAGTACCCTCTTTTCTACAGGAGGTTTTTGGCAGATGCTTTTATGGCTTTCAAAGTTTTTCGAGGTGAGGTGGGTTTGAAACCCAGTAAACACTGGGTTTTCCAAGTTATTGGTGAGCGCAGACCTTCTTTTAACTTGGTTGTTTCTAGGTTTGGATGGTGCAATATCTCGTTGCAACGCACCAACTTATTTTACCGGGCAGCTTCGATCTTGAATAAGCTTCCACCACTTCTTGGCTTTAACTTCGGCGACTCAATTGAAAACAGCGTTGAAGAAAGTGGATATGGTTAATGGGAGTTGAGGAAGTAAAGTAACTTGTTTCTGATATTCAATTCATCCTTTCTTTGGTATGATCGGCTGCTTACTGTGGTAGCAATGGCTCTTTCCTCAACCTGCATGTTTATTCGGCTTGTCTTGTTCTGTGAATTTTGTTGTACTCTCAAAATTCTACCGTTTCATTTGCCGGGGTTCAAACAGCTAGCCTCCGCCCGTAGGCTCGCTGGCTCTCATATAGGTGGGACTTCAGTTTTGAAAGACATCAAGATTTACAGTCAAGTATTGTCATACTGTTTGCCTTCAGAGTAGCTACAGTTTGTTAACTTAGCAAAGAACTATTCAAGGTGAATCTGGATGTACAAGAGCCGGTACTTCTATCGGAGGGTTCCATACTTGGTGCAGCTTCCACATCCAAAGATTGGTAGTCAGCTGTTCAAATGTGATTTACTAACCACGCTACGTTGATGTATTAGTGTTTGTTACTAACCGCTCCTATGATGATTCAAAGAGCACTTTTAGGTGCATTGAAATAAAAATAAAAATAAAAATAAAATTCTATATAATCTGCGGTGATATTCACTAATGTGTTTGCCTAGTGCTTGTGCTGCTCTACTGAGGTAATAGTCTATAGTATGATGTAGGTGTATTATAGGAAGCTCTGAGCAAGAAATTACTTTTGAAAATTTCGGTCATCTGGATCTTCGTATCTCACATGTTTCCCAAATTCACAACTCGCCATTCCGCGATTCTTGCTTCAATTTTCTTAGTTCACACAACAAATGTTCTCATTTTCAAACAGGAAGCACATTGTGAAAGGCTCAGTACAACTTGGTAATATCATTGCGGCAGTCTCAGTTAGAACGACAGCGAAGGACCATAAGCGCTTGATGGTAACTCCAGCTCCCCTCTGGCGTGGATGGAAATGCAAGTAGGTCCAGAGCGGAAAGGATGTGATCATTTTTATCCTCATTAGTCACTATCTGGACTAGCTCAGGGCTAGGCACAGCTGGCACCTGGGCAAGACGGATATCGTTTCTAGGACAAAACCAAAAGGGATACCGTTTTTTGTGGATGAAAAAACAACTGTGATTTTTTTAGTCGACGTTTCGTTTTCTCAAGGTTATTTATGCTCAAGGTTTAGGGTCAAAGGGGACTTCGTTTTGGAAATTTCTTTGGTGCCAGCTCGTGCCGAGCCCTGAATTAGCTCACTTTCTGGCCCGAAATTCAAGATCATGAAATACCTCGGTAGAAACTTCCCTAATTACTCGTAAACGGAAGCCTGGCTATAAAAAGACTTCGAATCTTTGAAACACTTGACTGACTTTTGAGCTTGGATTTGGTCCACCGCACGCTAACTTTCCATAGAAGTTCCATTAGAGAATTGCTTTCCAATCTGGACTCACATGACAGTAAATAATCGCTTTATATGTGAACACATGGGAAGTGTCAATTGGAATCTCATAATAACTGTGATTACACTTTTTACCAAAGGATTCTTAGCAACACAACACACGATGCAGTAATCTTCAGAGAGATAGAAGTGACATATGATTAGCTCATTAATAATGGCATACTCGTTTGTAGAGGATTAACAGCAACACGGGTAAATGGTAATCGACAAAGAAAGGAGTTTAAGGAGCTTTGAGGCTAAAATATTTGAAAGTGTCATCATGCGACACTCCCTACGGAGGCAGGACTCGATAGTTAATCGGTGCAGTGGATTTTGCAAAGGCAACGGTTTTTGACTAGAAGGGCTTCGGAGGTCACAAATAGATGGTCCCGAGACTCAGAATGCTCATTAGCAATGTGGTTACTGTCGTGACTTCTGGTGAAATACTGGTGGTTTCCAACTGTCGGATCTTCTGTTGGCCCTCTTCACTGTCTCTAGCCATCTTGTCGTAGGAATCCTGTAAGAAAAACATCAATCTTTGTGATCACATCTCTAGCGTTTAGATGAACTGAGACGATGATTAGTAAGGGGTATTCTCTCATCTGTCAAAAGATATCTAGAGATGTCGGTTTAGTAGGCACCAGTGACGCAAAGTGCTTCTTGAAAAAGGTGGCTCAAAAACTTTTGGAGGTCTTTTAGGGTGGTTAAAATGTGCGACTAGACGCCGTAACAATGATTTTTTTTTATTTCAGTGATTTCAGGACTTCAAGAAGGCTTTCGATGTTTGCCACAGGAGGTAATCTGTGTGCTATAAGAAGTAACTTAGTGTCAAAACTTTTAGAACAACATACTATTTTGGTAATGACCAAAGATATGCTTCTGAACAAAGCCGAGCAACTTGGAATTTAGCAATATCAAACAAGTCTTGTGAAAAGTGTGTCGATGAACGTGATCAAGCTGCATTAATTCCCTCTTCTCCCCAACCCTCAAAATAAACCTGTGCCATAGATGGTACTCCGACAAGATACAATCTATCGCCAAAAGTTCTAGAAAGTCATATTATTTTTATTTTTTATGGAGAAAAATCTCAAGCGAATTACTTCTGTAAAATCTGTGATAAGATAGATATTAGTGAGAGAAGCAATAGGAACTTACCGATAACATTTTTCCTATTCTAACAAGTCGCTCTTCACTGCCTTCGAGAGCTTTGCTAACGACGTCGCTAATATTGCGAGTTTCAATCGGCACCCATGCTACCCTTGGACGATCTGTAATAAGAAAAGCTACAGCGTGATATTTTGGCACTTGCAAAACTCTCTTGTAACGAATGAATCCTCTCAGATTCAGCCTGAAGTAGTTCCTATTTTGGCTCTCTCGTAAGAGCCGAAGTCCACTTCAGTTGCTCCCGAGAGACTTCGACGAATTGGCACATGTGCTCAATTCTATTTCAACACCATTGGATTTTATGTCAGCAGTCCTCAAAAATTCGCCTTAGCTGGTATGCCACTGTCCAAAGGTTAGGAAAATAGAGAATTTTTTCATTTTTCAAGTCCCCTACCTATTCTATATATCCTTATGGAAACTCTGCGATAGCAGACGCGTTTTCCTTGCGCATTTGTTGCTAAGCACTAAAATTTAGTTAGAAAATGGATATGCGCGCCGGAATCGTAAACTTGGAAAGGAAGCAGAGCCCTTTTAGCTTTTGATTATAGGGAAGTAAAGATCAAAGATTAGGTAAAAAGGAAACTGATGTTTGAGGTTATGACACAATTACGAAGCTTTCATGATTCATCTTCCGATTGGTCAATTATGTGCATCTATCATTTCACCATGACCAGTAAAAATTGAGAAAAAAATTTTGCCGATTTTTTTGAAAAAAAAAGTTTGCATTCCATTAGGAGCTAGAGCAAGAGTGATGTTTTGATTCTTTTTTGCAAAACATGGTTTTAGTGAGAATATTGTCTTGATTTCCTTCACAATTTGAAAAAGGCATGAAAGATCTCACGAATGCGTAAAGCTTGATGAAGAGATTAATGAGGTATCGTGGCTCATTTTTATGAGGGAAACTCATTTTTCATGACATGTCTGCAAATTCCTAGTTTTTTTTCCAAGAGAGTGTCTGAATGTGAGCTTTCCAAAAGTATAAGATAGATTCTTGATGAGAAACACTTATGGGAAGCTGTGGTGTTAGAATGAAAACGGAATAAGTGGCAATTAGAGAAACCGATTTCTAGAATTCTACTATTATGATAGTAAAGTAAAGTAAACTTTTACCTTGATCAGCGCGTATGACCACAACAATCGTAGCGAATGCTAGTAAACACACCGGATGCATTTCTAAACCTGCAAAAGCAATTTAAAAATAGAATCTGGGAATGGGAACACATGAACAGAACTCGAGCAACGTAGAAAAAAGTCGTTGAGCGACATGTCACTAACATCTTGCGCGAAAATTAGTAATTAGCTTGCTAATTCTAAGAGCATGTCTGGAAAAATTCGAATAAATGCTGCTGCACAAAAAAACTGCCACGTCTACGCGCTCGCCTCGAGGTATGAAATCCTCCCAAGAGTGATTATGGCAGACAGATGGCCCATCAACACGAGGGTGGGAAGAGAGAAAGTGCAATTTTGTGTGCTTGCAGCTGGATTTATGTTTCGAGACCGCTGCTCTTGCAGGAGCAAATTATGATGTAATTCAAGTTCCTGCATAACAAAATCCAGGAGTCTGAAAGAGAAAGTTTTGTTTACATTTATGTCTGTCATGTCTCCATGTCTGCTGTATAAACAGTATTTTGGCGGAAGAACCATTTTGATGAGTAGATTTCAGTCACCAAATAAAGACAGAGAGACGTCTGAGCTTTGATATACCAAAAATGAAGCGCTAGCAATCAAAGAGGTTGTAGTTAGTATAGAATTTCCTGCATGGAGCGAAATCCTAGACAGAAGTGCATGTTTTCAGGGCAACGATCATTTTGGAGCTCTCGGTTGATGTGTAAAGCAAAATGTGGCCATTTCATGGAGCAATAAAGCTCAAAATGCTCGCGTCTTTTCCTCCTCATCGCATGTTATTCGAATGCCAAGCCTAAATAGTCGGAACGCGATAACACGGAATAACATCAGCTCCCTTTTCCAGGCAACAAAAAAACAAACGTCCAGAATATCGCAAGTATCGATGTAAAAGCACTTCGAAAATGATTATTGTCGGCGAGAGAAGGAGGGACAGAGGCCTGAGCATAATGGACGCTAGTTAAGCGATATAGGTTTTCAAGCAAAGTGCCATCTGTCCCGAGAGCACGAGGATCTCGTAATTCGAGAACAGAACGGGCGGAGCATATATCTATAAATCGCGGGAATACAAGCCCTAATCAACTTTTACAAGAAGGTTGAATGAAATCTGACAGATCAATATATAGTTCGCGGAAGCAGAGTATAGTCTCATAGACTTCTACTAGCATCGGTAATTGTTCCTCTGGGGACACATCTGCTTAAATTCGGAACAGAAACGCAATAATCCTGCCATACATATTTTGCTGTTCGATGAAGCAATAATGTAGCAATTATGACGGCTACAGAGATCTGAATCTATGCACGCAACGTCAACTGCCTGGGACTTGATGGGGACGCTGCGAGGCAAACGCCCCTGATTAGGTAAGAGGAAACGTCTTCGAAGCAAAGAGCACAAGTATTGAGCAGAGCACTGACGTATTCAAAGAAAAACACTTTCGAAAAACTTTTGCCGCCAACAACAAGTCACGCTGATTGTGCATTCCTAGCAAAACTTGAGAGAAAAAGTGGATTGTATTGTAGAATTTCGATTTTTTTCGCCTGGCTTGCATTAGCAAATGGTGTGCAATAGTTTTTCCTAGCATGGATAGTGCATTTTTTCTATGCATCTGAAGCGTTTGGCTGGTGTGTGCTACGCCCATTAGCAGTTGTTGAAATCTTGGTTAGGCTAAGGATTGTGAGAAGTGCGAAGTCATTGTCTAGCAGCTCGCAACGCAACCATGCCATAGCCATTGTCCCTTGAGATCTAAACAATTAATCTTCTCACGCTGAAATTTTGCTGCCCGTACAGAGGTAGCTGGTCTTGCATGAGTCACGAAAAAGACAAATTAGAAGCAGGAACTGAGTCGTCTTCGAACCACAGCCAAAAAGAGAAAGAGCATGGTTCAGTGAAGTATATACATGTTTGCTAAGCAGAGTAAAGTGAAGACCAGTTTCTTGCTATAGCAAACACGAACATCAGACATCTTCAACTAAAAAAAAATTCACACCTAAAGGATAGTCCCGGACGATGTCAAATGCCAATATGAGGTAAGCACATGCAAACGCGGCGCACCAGCGGTTATCGGTATCTGTTTTGTGCGTCTCATGCGCTCCGTCGATAATAGATGCTCTATTCTTGCCTGCTTCGCGACGGACGCCGTTTCGCCTTTGTCCGCGGCTAGAATTTATATTTACATTTTTCGCAGAGGCTTACCTGAATTTCTGCCTTTAGGGAGTGATAAACGTCGCAAACGTAGACATAAATTTAGTAACTCGCCGAACCAATGAAATTCGCTAAACTTCTATATTTCTTCTTTTCCTCTATTTTCCCTCCCTTTCCTCCCCCTCCACCACTTTTTTTGAATTTAGCAGAAAGCACAGCTTTGTCTGAGTACCCAAATAATGTCTTGGAAGTGGAACCACACAACTGAAAGGATTTCCAAAAAATGAATTAAATGAAAGCCCTTCTTATCTATCGAATGGTGAGGACACTTATTCAGTTGTTAGGTCTACCATGAGAAAAATTAGTGCGGAAGAAAGAGGCTTACGTCATTCAAAACGACTTCTCTAAATGGGAAAAAAGTTAGTTTTTTAAAAGGCAGATATGAACTATATCGCTCTGGAGTTTATTTGAATACTATTGCTCACCTTGTTTGAGAAAATGGACCGAAAGAAAAAGTGAAAATATGAGAATCTTTTTGAAGTAGATTTTGAGCTGAATGCTGAATGCCTGAATCTATTTTGACAAAAGTGTTTGCTTAGAATTTTTTTGATTTACATGAAATCTAGGTGGAAATAGAAAGCATTTTTTTCTTGAGAAAGAACTACCAACTATCGAATGGTAACAGCATTACAGTGATTGGGGATTACGAACGATTCTCCCTAGTTTGCCTCTCCAGAGCGCATTTGTGCCTCGGAAACGTATCTGCGAGAGTTTGCTATCTTTTTGCGTAAACAACAAAGCAGTTTAGATTATAGTACACGCCAGACAAAATGAAATTTGGGCTAAAGCTTTCCGCATTCAAAAATATACGCTTGGCAACATTAATGTGTAGAATTTAGCATCATCATGTGAAATTGGTTATACCCTTCTCGTTGCAAAAGTCAATAGTCGTTCAAGTTTTTTTGAGATATCCTTTTTCTGCGAGTCGCGACTAGAAGAGAAAGGACAATTCAAAGGCTTCACAATGCCCCGACTTCCACAATCACTTCAAAGCTCAATTTAATTTCTAAGAGAGGTGCGACCTTTCTGAGTCTGTCACAAGTCATGTCGTACTTGCAAGTTTGGCAGAAACATCTGTCCAGCCCAGTGGCGTACCGAGCAAGGGGGGAGGGGAGAGGGGATTTGAAAGTTGCTTGAATTGTGAAAATGTGCAACTGACTTGTTTATACTTGTAAATAATCGAAATAATTTTTAATTTCAAAAATTCAATCCAGCCTTGTAAAGAAACTTTTCATTAATTTCGAGGTTAGGGGCCCGCAAAAATTTTGGGAAGCATACAAAAACATCTTGGAATGGATACGCCACTGCTCCAGCACTATTTTCGCTAGGACTCTATCTGCCTACGAGCTTTTGCTTAGAGTCCGCTAAAACCACTTGGCTCTCTAATGCTGCACAGGAGAGAAATCAATTATCAAGAGTGAGTGTTTTTTGAGATTTTTTTTTGCTATACAACTGTTGAAGATTGATGGAAACTCTTCAGGCACTAATTGGTCAATGGCAGCTTACTTCCTGACATCGTGAAGAATTTAGGATAAGAAAAAGATTGCCTCTTTGCAGAAGTGAGGAAATTGCACTGGAGCAGTAAAACCAAATCAAGCTGTTTTTGTTTGGACAAGCTCGTGGGAATACGATAGCATGACGTAAACGTACTTAAACGGTTCATGAAAACTTGATACTACAAATGGACTCCTTATGAATAGAACTGTGACAGCACCTACTTGATAGGAGGATGAAGCAATGAGAGACTGTTTGTCAAGCACTCGATCGCAAAACAATCGAGACTTTCATTGAGAAGCGAGTTTTTGTCCGAGTTCAGAAGTGCAACTGGGAAGAGGCGCGACTGAGTTTCGAGCAATTTGCGGAGATTGACGAAAGTCACAACGCTAGGAGATTGTTTAGAAACAAAAAGAGATCGATTCTGACTTGCCGACATGTCGCTAATTCTGCCAATGTCGGCACGAAGCCGGCCCGTTGAGCGGAGCTTAAGCCCTCCGTTTGGCGTCGACTTGGACGAATTCACGATTAAGGCCACAAATCAGGCAAATTCTTCGCTGTTTTGATGCTACTTGCTAGGCTCGGCCCGACTATGTTGATGTGCTGTGTCAGTGGAGGAAACCAAAAATGTAAAACTTACTGATGAAAAAAATTGCGGTGAAGTCTTGGCTTAGATTTCCCACCCTCCAGTATAGATATTAGAGACAAAATGAACTAAAACTTGTTACTGAACATAAATTCCAAATATCTGCATCCGACGAAATGTAATGATGTAATGAATGTATATTCTGCTTTCATTCTGGTATTGTTAAAGAGATAATAGGACTTTGTAGCTACGCGCATGACTTTTAGTAATTTCGTAGCCGCCCAGCAGACGAACTTTTTTTTGCCGTAATTGTAAAAAAGACTGAACTCTGAACTGAATAGCCTGCATGAAAGATGAAACAACTACACTTCGCTCTTAAGTCAAGCAGTCAGGACTCTTTTTCATGCTTGCAGTAAGATTACTTTAATTACAATATCAAAACATTTCAGTCAGCTCACAAACTTGAATGCCTTTTTAGCACAGCTGCACAGCTTATTATTTCTTACTCACTGCGATTTCCAAAAACGCTGTAAAGCAAATGGAAATTCGCCACAGTTACGCTATGTAATAAGATCCATCTTGGGAGCGAATTGGATGCTGGCGTAACAATGAATTTTCATTGAGTTTCTGCGCCGCAATATAGCTTTGCAAAAAAAAAGAGAAGCTACCTCTACCCAACGGAGATGTAAAGACAGCAAACAAAATAACGTTTGAAGCTCGCTATGTTTTATCAGAGGATAAATTATGGAATACAAGATGCTATCAGTGGCAGTCC